AGCATAAATATTACAATTTGGTTCATAAACATTAATGTTCTGTATGTGTGTGTGTGTATGTTTGTAATGAATATTGTATTAAATTGGTGCAATTGTTATTGTTGTTGCTTTTGACAGTAAACAAAATGTATTCATACATACATACACACATACAATATATGTGTGATTTAAGCGAGCATTTTCCGCATCTGTTTGTGCCCTCCGGCTTGCTGTTCACCTCAACCATAATCATTATGATTGTCTTCGCCTGTTCGTTCCTCATCAATTTGATCGACTTGTTTATGGGTTGTCAGTGAATTTTTGGCATATCTTCCTTTCCACGCTGCAACAGCAACACGAGTAGGCACTGTAAACACACACACGCACATATGGTTTAACATTTTTTTTTTTCGTTTTTGTAATGGAAGGTATATATTATTGGCTATAAAAGCCCACGAGTGTATGTGTTTTTGTGTGCAGATTGAAGAGGCGACGGAAAAGGCGAAATTTGCATTTTTGTATTATTTTACCGTTTTTCCACAGCACTCACAGCAATGATGTGAGTGTGAGTAGTATGTTATAAAAAAGATTAAAATTGCATGCATTGAAATTGAAAATGTAACTAATTTATTCGGCAAAATGAACTTTTCGTGTTCGCTGATTAGTTTTAAAATCCTCTCAATACGGATAAATGAAAATTCGATAGCAGTTATTATGTTAAAAGTGCATCTCGAAGTTTGTAACATTCAGAAGAAACACCGGAGACTCTGTAAAGAATATAATTAAAGATCAACGTGACAACAATGTATTTGACAAAGTATATTCACGAAATTTGGCAAAGATTATTAACCAAAAGAACACTACAATCTCCGAGGAAATTGTTCAGATCGGCCCGCAATTGCATGCCATTTAAACTGATCGATCAAAATCAAAATAATGAACTTTTATACCCTTTTATGTTATAAAAAAATGCACCTGTGGACGGCATTGTAGTCTAAAGCACATTGGGCAGATACTTAGCCAGAAACATTTTTAATAATTTGATATGGATTATTTAGTTGAAGCTAACGTCTGGAAACCCCTATAATGTTGGCTGCGGCAATGTCACCTGTTAAATTTTTGTCATCGCTTTGAAGCCGGAGCTTATCAGAGAGCTTTTATTGGCTTTGCACCGAAATTCCAACTGTAATTCTGCGTAAAAGTTAAATTTAAAGGAGACGCAAAGTTCAATGCTCCCTGTTTTGAGTCGCAAACTCAGATTGTCACGGTACTGACAGCCAAAGGTCTTTACTGAAAAATAAACTAGATGGACAGAAGAGCTTGGAGCTTTCAATGAGCTTTCAGCATTTCTTTTATTCCAAAACTTGGATATAAGACCCATTTGAATGTAAAGAGAGGACTTTGTTTTATGTACTTGTATAAGGATATAAAATGTAAGCGATAGATCAAATGAGGTTTTCAGACGGTAGAATAAATCGATTCTCCACAGATACGGTTTCAAAATGTGATAAAAAGATGACAGTAAAAGGAAACATTTTTTTAAAGATTATATAGTATAAGTTAATCTAAAGCGAACCTTGTTTGTTTTATGGTGCTCCCACATAGAACTGATGATTTGCCGGCTGAAAGCTGTTCCCATATTTTCTTACGAATATCTCCTCATCAGAAGGAAATTTTATATGCGATGTCTTCTACTATGCCATTTATCAAGGATTGTTTTAAGTTTAGGAAATCTGTTGTGCAAATATCCTTCCCACAATTATGGACCGCCCTAAAGCTTGTTCACTTAATTCTTGCCGACTATCAAATCAGCTCTAAACAGGTGGTACAATTCAAAATTATCTACATTAACAGATCAAAGTCGGTCACAATTCACCTTGAGTGTATGCGAATAACAGAAACAGCAACAACAACAACCAAGTATTTGCAACTAAAAAGCAGTTATAAGAAATGAAAAGTTGAAATTATTGCGCTCTGTGACCGGTCCAGGTTGGGGCAAGTAGCAGCAGCTGCCGTAAAGCATAAAAAGTAAAAAATACTATAAAAACAACAATAAACAGCGAACAAGCTGGTAGCTAAGCAACCGAATATTCGCGCTGTCGAACAAATCGCGCTAAAGAACGGGTAAATGCCTTTTGGGGCAAGCAAGTGGCAAGCACAGGTTGACGGCGCCGCCAGCACGTGATTTGTGTGCGCTTTGTAGACACGAGTGTGTACGTATGTGCTTGCATGTGTTGGGGCTGTTGATTGCAATAACTTTTAATAGGATTTTCTAGTTCTCCGACTACTGGCAGCGCTTTGTGGCTAGCGGCATATTCCCAATGCTAGTTAAACACAGTTTTTTGCACACCTGTTTTTGCTATTGTTCTGCCACCACACATATATAATACAATCTGATGCCAGCAGTTTTAATGATTGAAGTAGTTAAGCGAGTGTTTTATTTCACATTTTTTTGCGCAAACTTCGGGTGTAGCTGCTTAAATTCAAGCTTTGTCTCAAATGAGTTCTCAGTGGCATTTTCGCTAATTTTGTTAAATTTAATTTTCCTGCAATAAAATAGTTCTGTAATAGTTGAGGTTATTAGCATTTTGGTTTTTATACACGCCTTTACACATTTCCCACATTTTATTGCTGAAAAAGCCGCCAACATAATTTTGCAATACGCTAATCAGCGCACGCATGCGCGCAACCTCAATGTATGTATCAACACATTTTCACGCTTCTTAACCACAACATTCCCCATTCCCATTTTTTCCCATGCTTCTCATACTCCCAAGATCGTTTTTGTTGTGGCTGTAAATTAACTGCCGCGCATGCGCAACCGCATTCCACAAATGAAATATACATGCGCGAATATTTGTTAGTATGCTTTTGCTAAAAAAATCGATCTCAAAATGCAGTTCTCACTGGTATTCGCTTAGAAACATATTATTTGCTTCTTCTTCACACAGTTTTTGTTATTATCTATTCAGTTTGCAACAGCATTCTAATAAGTCTTCTTTAAATGAAAATAGGTAACAAAGAAACTCTGCTGAACGCGTTTTACTTATCTGTTGTCGTGAAGATGGGTTAATTTTATTTTTTAAATGTTTTTCTAATTTTTTTAAATAAAATATTTTGTGAAATTTTTTTCTATACAATATCAAAAAGTATGAAAAAAATTTTATTTCAAGCTCTAATACTGGTTGAAATCTTAAACCTTTTCGATTTTTAAATAACGGTATAAATAAGCAGTTGATTTAAAAACTTTTCTTCAAGTAAATACAAAAATGGTTTATTTTGACATTGCTGTGACCTTGCCAATACCTCTTATTAACTTCTAAAGGGCAAGCAATTTATTTTATATCATTTACGTTTTGAAACTTCTTCAAGTTCTATTTTTATACTCCTGAATTTATATACTGAGAATTTTTTCCTACAACAATTAATTTTTCACTGAAATTGGCGCCATATCAAGTAACATGTACGAACTTGATCACTTGATTTACATTGCGACACCTGTCGGATTTTCTAAATACATATCTATGTATATCGTTTAAATGTGATAATTAATGAAATTCTGTTATAGAACGCGAGTGACAAAAATAAGTAACCATAAAGAGCAAATTTACCGTGCTTTATGTTGCCAAACATATTACTCATATCGGTGCACCCTCTATATATGTAGCTGTAACAGCTGCTTTTGTTTTCTAGAGTATTTTTATTCATTTATGAATCGTGCCATTTTTTTTTCTTGCCATGCTATATTCTTCGTGTGTTTTAGTTTATTTGCATTGCTGACATGAAACTCGTTGTTTTTGTTGACGTGTGGGCGGACGTTTTTCATGTTGGGCTTGAAGTTCTATTGTAGGCCAGCATATCTGTAGTTGTTGTAAATTGTATTTAATTAGTGTATTTCATTTCTTGTCATCCGGAGGACAAATAGCCAAGCGTATATACACAGGTGGTTGCATAGATCGATGGAGAGGGATTTAAGATTTTCTTAAACTTCGTCTAAATAAAATCAGAAATATTGTAGGAAAAATAAATACTGTCATTAGAGGGGAGTAAGTATACAAAAACGAGTTTTGTTTTCATTTATTACATATTTTTCCCCTGTTATCACATTACACTTGATATTTATTTAAGATGATAGTAAAACATTTAATTAGAAATATTTTTCAGTTCCATAACTATTAGTACTAATTTATTAAGGGGCTTTTTCATTAACATTTATTTGTCCTTTACTACTACGAATTACACTATTTTCTTTTTAGACTCTAAGTAGAAGTAACATTATTTGGTTGAACTTCTAGAAATACGCGAATCGGTTGTTTATATATCAGTTCTATTCGAACAAGTAGGTTTTTCTTAGTAAAATTTGGAACAAGTGAATATGTTTTTCGAATTCAACAAAGCTTGGCTTCGATAGTTTTCAAAAATTTGATTTATCCAAGGAAAAGCCACAAGTGGAATCATAGGATATACCAGAATCTTTTTCAAAAAATTTACGAAGTTTTTGAAACCCACAAGGAAACGTCGGAGACCCTATAAAGTATAAAGCCAGGTCCGTCTGTATATACGTGAACAAGTCCCTCTGTTTTTGAGATAGCGATCAGAAATTTTGCACACGCTCCTTTCTACTCAAGAAGCTGCTCATTTGTCGGAACTGCCGACATTGAAACACTATAGGATATAGCTGCCACACAAACGGACCGATCGAAATCTAGTCCTTGCATGGAAAACTTTTTAATTTTACACGATATCTTCATGAAATTACGCATGGAATATTGTTCAAGAAATTGTTATAAATGGTCGAAGAAATGTTTCAGTTCCGATCACTACAACTTATATGCCATGCCAACTGACCCATGAAGAGGAAGTTTAGAGCGTAAAGGAATATTTTTCAAAAAATTTAAGCCACTTCCACTCTTAATTACTAAAATACTAATATGCAGAGAGAGAGTTTTCTTCGGCCAAAGCAATTTCCAATACATACAAAAATCTGCGATTAAAGATGACCACTCGCTTTAATTTCTTACCTTAAGTTAGCAATGGTGATATTTAGTGCCTTCTATTCTATTGGCTTGCTGCAATAATATATTTCGTTCATTCCATATGCAATTCAACAGCGGGACATTTTTTGTTGCATGCAACACACACTGCAATAGAATGAATGCACTCCGTTTGTGATGGCCACGGAGCGTGTGAATGCAGCACCGAGTGCAACAGGTTTTTCCGGAGCGCGGACACAATTACAAACACAAACACACACACACACACCAACACATATACGCTTGTAAGGCAGTGTTGCATGTGTTTATGTGTCAAACTCGTTTAATGGAAGTTTTGCAACATTTTCCATTTATTTTGTATTTATTGCATTTATTTGATTTTTTTTTGCTGCAACCACAACAACAAAAACGTAATTTAGCACTATCTATAGCAGCAGCGGGGCTTACGGCGCGAAGCAGATGAACTGGCAGGTATGAGACTTGGAGTTACATTGGTTGCTTGGCTGCCTCAGTGGCCGATAGGCACGTTGAATGCCAGCTTAGCCGGTTACAATATGTTGTGGTTGTTGTTGTGTGAGTGTGTAACTTGGCAGTTTGCGCAGTTGTTGCAATTTGCACTTTTTGTTAAATTTATTGTAGAATCAACACTTGAAACGGAGGAAAAATATGCGTGCACTTTTTTCTGCTTGCAAAGCACTAAATAAATTTTTTCAAGAATTGTTATTTTTTTTTAAATAAAATTTTTTGTTTCACTTAAGGGTCGGACACTAAAACATTTAAACTCTGTTAATTTTTTTTATATTTTTAACACTACAATTTCTTATTAGTTAATGAAACGTACAGCTTGTTGCCCAGCGTTGGGCTACTGGACTTGCCAAAAACTCACTTTGCGGCAACAACACTCCAACTAAATCGAACAGACGCTTTTGAATGCTCGACAATTGTCTTGCGTACGCGCACGTTAACACTCGCAGACTCGTCGTAATGGACTAAAAAGAACATAAATTTTATGCACATTCAATCTGCTCGATATCAACAGAGGCCCCAACCACCACTACCACTACTTCGACGGCGACGCCAAACGTAATGTGGACGCCAGCAACGTTGATAGCGACAGCGAGCAAGCAGCGAGCCACTCAGAAACAGTTTATAATTGTCGGCTATACGAGCACTATGGACCGCGTTGCCAACAGTCTCCTGACACTATCTCAGCGGCATTAATGGCAGCAGCAGCAAGCACTGCTAAGCAATAATAATTGTGTAAGCAGCGACGTCGACTGCGAAGCTCATGACGACAGCGTCGACTTTTATCTCCACAACCACAATATGTATGTGTGTATGTGTGCTCTGTGGAAGGTATCTTCTAATTGTCGACCAGCTGTGCATCTTACTACACCATCAGCATACAAATTCGACATTGGCTACAAGTGTCTTTTGTATCTATGAGATACAATTTTTTTCAATTTGTGTGAGTTTATTACGGCGCTCTCGGCGCAATGCAAAGTGGAATGCATTGTACAGTGCAAGCGCAACGTAATGCTGATTACTTGAACGGCCTTCCGCATTAGAATTACCTTTAGCGATTGCTCTCTCGCTTATCTGTCTCTCCCGCTCTCGGTAGCACTGCCTGTGTTGGTGTCTTTGTTGCTTCCAGTTTCCACGTTCCAATGCTTGACTTTTGTGTGATATCAAAACAAGTTTGCACCGCAGCAGACTATAAGCGACCGCACTTTGGTCGGTGGATGACTTTTGATAAGATACTTAGCTGCTTTGGTGCTCATAATATGTACATATGTATAAAGGACAAAGAAGTGTGAAACAAGCTATATACTTGTAAGTATTTATTGTAGAATTATCTTTCCATTGAATAATGTCAGCGGAGCTATTTATCCTCTAGTATCCGAATTAGTAGTTTTCAAGTGTTCTGCTTTGTCGGAATTCTCTCAAATTGGTGGGATATCAGTGCTCCCAACTAAGATCTAGAGCTCTGTCGGATCAAAACAATATGTTCTATATAGGTATTTTTCTCACAGAGTAGTGATATCACGAGTCCAATGAAATAATCATGTGCGGTTGAGTCTCTGGATTTTCTCGAAGAATGGATACAACTTTTTCAGGACAGTTCAGTTTCCGAAGCTTACTGATTTGAAGTCAAATCGTCATTTGTACTGAATTTTAGAAGATTCCGCAGACTCCTAGTTCAGAAATGGTGGGACAATCCTGCCCACGAATATCTAGCAAAGTGACAGGAAATACCAATCCTCAAGTCCATGGACTTTTTGGTTTTCGGAGTTAATGCAGGAAATTCTCTGGCTGCTGCTTTTGATATCGTTCTCATTTATTGCATATTCAATCCTTCGACCTAATTGTTCACGCTTAGATTTTTACCAATAACAGATCTTACTATGCTCTGTCTACCTTTGCAAGACCGACTTATGCTGAGCTCGATAGAGTTTCCTTAAATTTGTTTGGAAACTTTTTTTGGAAATATTTTGCAAGTTTTAGGTTTAATCATGTCCCCCATGCGTCGGAATAATACCAAACTTTATGGTATATTTGCCTGTTGTTCGCTTTTTCCCGAGATGCTGCTCATTTCACGGAATCGCCGATATCAGACCACTATAGGATATAGCTGCCATGCAAACTGATCAATCAAAACCAGGGTCTTGTGTGAAAAGCTTTTTAATATGACAAGAAACTTTCTCGAAATGTGGCATGGACTGTTGTACAAGGCAACTCTAGAAGCTTCGAATCCATATACAAACTGAACGATCAAAATCGTGATAAAGATCTTGTTATACCCTTTTATAATAAAAGAAAAGCACTTGTGTTTACATTAGCTTCAGGGCATCCGAACTTAGAAATTGTTTGTGTTAAGACCTATGGTGCCTCCTAACGGCCTTTGCATTTATATGAATTAAACTATTTTTTCGTAAAATTCTCTTGGAAAGGGATATTTCTGATTGCAAAAAAAAAAAATTTATTTCCCTTAATTTGTAATAGTCGAGACACAAACCTATCGAGTGGTAGTGAGGTACTCAACCAAATCAGAGAAAGTGGTCGAACAGTTACCGATCAAAATAAACTAAATTTCTAACTAATTACCATTCTTTTTCAGCAATACAGCATTTTGCAAATCTTTAATGCAAGTAATTGCTCTGAAGCGGAGAGGTCATGAATCTTATTACAACCAGCTAAGTCTTCCGCTGCTTCGAAAACTTTAAGACGATTTTATTCATTTGCAATTATTCCACATATGCATGCAATACATATATATCTCATATACCAGCCAGCCTACAAATGTGCCATTCTCATTCACCATTTCCGATATAAATTCCATTTGGTCTTCAAATCTGTCGAACAAGGCTGAAAAATCTGTTCCCGGCATGCGACATTCACGCGTAGCAGCCACCAACAACTGCAACAAGCGAACGTTACGCTGTCTCATAAGATTTCTCCGATACGGCATGCAAGTCATCGCATAGCTCAGCGCATTTTTTCTAGGCCCAGCATAGCGGCGGTGGTGAGGCAACAACGCCATGGCAAGAAGAAATGTAAAATCTCATAAGAAACAGCCGCTTCGAGAACGTTGAGTGCTTGGCTGATGACATGCGGCCTCCCCTATGCTAGTTTATGGGCGCGCACATGCTTGAATGTGTGTGTGTTTAATGCAACAAAGCAGTTTGCCGCTGCCACATCGCTTGCATGACACACTAGCAACTTGCACCCAATGGGGAGGTGGCACCGGCAGCCTGCGACTGCATGTGAATACTCAAACAGCAAAGTACACACACACACACACATGTTATATAAATAAACTCGTATTTATTGCAGATATGTCACAGTTTGCAATATTTTGCACAACCATGCGACTTTCTTTACATGCAACGCATCTGCCTCCATCTACTAACACTACGATTACCCTCACACTCCCTTGTCCACAGTTTGCCTCTTGCTTGGGTGTTTTGCCACACACACACGCACACAATTTATATTCACAAAACATTCCTTTCTATTGTCGATTTCCTTGCCTTGCTTAGTTTTTGTAAACACACATACAAGTCCGTGTGTGTATATGTGTGTTTGCTCTTATAACACACTTCCATATGAGCTTACGTATAAAAATGTATTTAGTATCTGCATATCCTATATATGTGTATGTATGTTTGCCTATTACACTTTTTGCCATTTTTTGCGCCCATCTGATTTAACGTTTGCTTGTTGGCAAATCTTTTGCCGCTTATTTATATACATATATTCGTACATCCATACATACTTACATTCGCTATCAGCTACCTTTTGTGAGTCTCTGCGAGCCCAGCCATGTGCGACGTCTTGACTTCATCACAGATGCGCTGCTAACTGCGTTGCCATTCATTTATTTGTTTTTGTTGTGTAAAGTTGTCGGCTAATGTTGTCTGATATGTAGCAGTATGTAGCTTCACCGCCATATGGTTCCGTAAATACGCACTTAGGTGTGCATTGAAGAAGTTCGTTCTAGCAAGAAGCCGGTACGCGGTCGTTGCACATTTGGAACGAATATTTAGGTATGTACCTCTACCATATACGTATATCTACAAGTATTTTTCAAAAGATAAGGTTTTTAGAACATACCTTTTGTATGCATACTAATTCTTTAAAGCGTGTTCACACACACATTTACATTTAAGGTAAAAATTCATGATTAAACTGTATACGAGTATGCCTTGTACAATAATCAAAAACTCTCTTAATTGATTATGAAGACCGTTTAACTAATTGTCAATTAGTACTTAATTTGCTGGACACAACAAGCTTACATGCAACTTAGTGCGATCTCTTTGGAGAACAGAGAAAATTAGATTGGAATTAGTACGCGAAAATGTTCAATATTTTTATGAGAAAGTTAGTTATTTTAAAAATAAAGTTTTTTTATGCTTTTCCCCAAAATAAGTTCAGAGATCATGCACTAATTGTGTGAGCTTAATTAAGTCAGTTCAGACTGACTAAAATTACTTACTCAATATGTGATTTAAATGTTTCAGCTAAGTTATTTGTTTGATGAAATTATTATTGATAATGCTTGCAGAAGGAAATGTCATTCTGGCTATCGCAAATCTAAAATGAATATATTTTTAATGCGTCAAAATTTTGTCTAGGGATAGTGGGGCGTAATTCGGAATACTTGCCCAGTAGTATTTGTCACCTTTTTCTAAACAAAAATTTTAGCAATAAAATTTCAAAGTGACTAGGTACTTTGGTATTCTCTTCTAAACTACAACTTCACATTAGTATTATCGAAGAAACTGTTTAAATAGATTAAGTCATATAAATAAAGGTTTTCCAAGCAACTCTATTCCAAACTTAAATTCATGTTCAAATTCACGTGAAAGCTTTATTAGAAGGATTGAGCTTTATAATCAAATCCTTCTTTCTTAATCGTTCAATATTTCCATATGATAAAAGGCTAGAAGTAATTTGAGTGCCCTACCAGTTGAAACAGCTAATTTATTTTCGCTCTTGTTAGGTATAGCGACTTATCTGGGTTGCATTTTGTCAACTATGAAATAAAAAAATTACATTATTTACTGTTTCTCTCAGCTCTTTCTCATTTTCCGCATTTGCTCTAATTGACCTTAAATTCCATCTCGCTAAAAATCTTCCACAATCAAAGCAAAGTCCGTGTATTTAAGTATTCATCGTGAAATTATTATTTAACAACAGTTTAATTCATGGCGTGTGTAGATTTGTTAATTACAACTTCTCTGCATAACTCGGAAACTATTTTCGACTAGCTTTTCACATTCTTCACTGGTGTGCGTGGTTTTGTAAAGACGTCCCTGTAAGGAAATTTGCCACTAAAAATAAATTCTTGAGACTAGGTTGATTTTTTCTTCTCCGATAACAAATATACTTGTATTTTACAGTATTATTTGGATTAAAAATAGGAGTTTTCAAAAAATTTCTCTTTTCTGATAAAATAATTAATTTTGTTATTAATATATTTCATTTAAGAAATTTATTTTTTAAAACATGGCTTAAAAACACCAGATATGATA